CTGTTGCTAGTTAGCCAACCAGCAACGGGCATGAAACTGTATGCAGATGGAGAAGGGCAATCACCCTTAATGGGCGATCAATGGTGAAGGGCAATCACCCTTAATGGGCGATCAATGGTGAAGGGCAATCACCCTTAATGGGTGATCAGGATATGCATAGGGGATTAAGGGGGGGGGAATACAAAGAACACAACAAAAGTAAAGAGAGAGAGAGAGAGAGAGAGAGAGAGAGAGAGAGAGAGAGAGAGAGAGAGAGAGAGAGAGAGAGAGAGAGAGCAAAGCAACTCAGCACTGTGCAAGCCCAACAGCCTTGGAAAAGATGCAAATGAGAGAGGGATTCCCTTGGAGACACAGTGCTTAAGGGGAAATGTAGCTTCTCCCTGCCCCATTGTAAGCTGGGCAGGAGTGTGCTTGCCTTGCAAACTTTGAGAACTTCACAAAGAAAGGAGGGACACACACACACACACACAAATACACCAAATAAAACCTCGAAAAGCAGGCAGGATGTTGCCAAACATGAGGCACCTGGAACATCAAAATAAAAGCAAAAAACTCCAGTTGAAGTGCAGCGGAGCCCAACAGTCTTAGAAAAGGTGTAGACAAGAGAGAGAATCCCTTGGAGATGCAATGCTTAAGGTGAAAGGTGGCTTCTCCCTGCCCCTATTTTCACCCTGAGAAAGACACCCTCACACACACATACCTTGGGGAGGGGGTCCCCCTCCAATGAGGCTTTGGGGGAGCTCCCAGTTGCAAGCTGGGCTGGTGAACGTTTGTCTTGCAAACTTGGAGAGTTGAACAAAAGGAGCGCGAACCCAGCTGGGGTGCCGGGAGGAGGGAAGAGGAAAGTGAGAAAGAAAAGAAGGAGGAAGAAGTAGTAGCAGAAGGAAGAGGGATCAAGACCAGGAAGAGGAGGAGGAGGAGGCAGAAGAAGAGGTAGCAGAAGGAACAGGAGGAGGGAGGGAGGGAGGACACAGAGCTCAGATGTTACAAACTAGTTGCAAGTGCAGCCATCGGAGGACCTTGCACTGAGCAAGATGGCTTCTGCCCTGCCACTCTCCCACCCCTGCCCAGAACCCTGCAGACTTGCTGCATGCCTGGAAGTGGAAGACGTGCTATCAGCGCACCTCCAGGTGTGCGGCCCAGTTCCTAAGTGGCTGTGGCCCAGTATCGGTCCATGGACCGGGGGTTGGGGACCCCCGGACTAGGGGGTTCCTCTCCCTGTAAGATACAAAACAATGGATAAGAACAATTTAAGCCTGTCTCATCAATGGGCTGGGGACAAAACAAAAACATTACAGGAACACGTATATAAAGAAGTTGCTAGAATATGTTTGTATTATGGTTAGATGGGTAAGGATATTTTAGAGGAGAATATTTGATGACAACAATGATCAGAATAGTTAAAGCAATGGTCCTTCCAATAATATACTGTATATTGATACTGAGAAAGAACAAGATAATCAAGTTCAGATGATGGATCTAAAGACAGTAAGAATACTATGCAAAAATGATTATTCAGTCCTGAGCCAAATAAAAGCTCACTGCCTTTTGACATAGAATAAAAAATATGACTTTGTTTGTCAAGATGGAGAAATAGAAGAAAGGGTTAAAACAGAAGAAAGACAGGTTAAGGCAGATGGAGAGAATAAAAGAAAATTTTGCATGATTATCCCAGGAAGAGTTATGAGTTATTGTTGGAAACAAATGGAGATACTGAGCAGTACTCCAGGAGACAAGCCTGACTCATTAAACAATTAAAGTTTTAATATAGAGTAGACCTAAATAAACGGTGTTCCCAGAGGTCATCAGAGTTTTGATTATATGATACAAAAGACTGAGGTTAAGCGCTGATGTTAGTTCATCTATACTTTTTATTTTTTTTACCTTTATTATTTAATAAGTGCAACCTTAAAGATTAAAACAATAATAGGGATCTGTTGTTACTGTATGAAATAATTTGCCAATTTTGTTAATAGATGTTTATATTTTACAAAATAATAAATACTAATGGGGAATATTTGACAGAAGTGAGGATCTAGCTTTTTTTTGCATATATATGTCATATGTTTTAAAGCTATGATATGTTATTTCTAACTTTATTAGCTCATTTCTAATTTAAAACCAGTCTCTGCTTTGAGTTTTTAAAAGTGAAAGTAACCGATTCTCTTAACAGCAATAATGATAAATACAATCATTCTTTTGATATCACAAAAGATGGTACATTTGAACAGCAAGACAGAAAGCAACCTAACAAAATCCATTTTTTTTAAAATAGACTAAGCAAACATAACTAATTCCAGATCCTTGAACATCAAAATAGCTCCCTTTGAAAATACTACTGTAGATACTAGCAAGTTTTTTTAAAAGTAGCAAGGTAATTCTACAGCAATGGTCTTTTCACAATGATTCTTCTGGAGTGCATTTTGGTACTTTCTGCAACTTATTTGAAACGTCAAATTTTGTATCTGCCTCTTGGGACGTCTTCATTGCAATTCCACAATAGATTTATTGAGCAATGTCATAGTAGTAGTTGCGTAGCTTTAATTCAACAGTAAAAAATGATGGCCGATCATCAACACTGGAAGAAAAAAGGAAAATATTTTTGTAGCCAAGCAGACTCTTTATTATTTGTCTGGCAAATTCCAGTCAATATATTATTTCTTTAACAACAACATTTACCAGCACTTTCTCTTGCTTCAGGACAGCTTATTGTGTAACTGCTATCCTTATCAGATAACTTAATAGTGGTTTCTCAGCAGAAAGAGCCAGCAAAATATTGCATTAGAAATGACATTTTGGAAACACTGGAAAGGATCACAAATCTAGGCAAAGTCTGGTCTGTATTTTTCTTTCATCTTCTTACTTATCAATACTATCAGATAGTTCTGAAAGAAGGGTATCTCCTGGGTGGAGGTTGAAACAGAGAAGGGGTCAAAAAGTCAGGATGGTGGTCACAACCAAGAGATCAAATCTTGGTATTTATGTTGTGATGCATGAAAAATGGGGTGTATCCCTTCTCATTTGCTAAAGAATTCCAAACTGAGGTGGCAAGGAATGCCTGTATATGCTGGTTTTGAAGGAACATTTAACTATGGTCAGTGAGCCTGAAAAGCTTCAAGAAACTATTGATATGAGAATACTTACCTATATGTCCAACACAATTTCATTAATTCATAGATATCAGATGAGCAACCCACTGGACATTCCAGTCGTTCTCCTCTTTCAATCATCTGTGCAACATCAATTCCTTTCATACCCTACAACCAACGACACAGAAAACTGAGACAACGTTGGTTTCAACTGAAATAAGAATATCACAATTTCTGAAATGTTTTCTCACAAAGAAGTGTCGTAATGGACATTTGAATAGCATCCACATCTTGGTTTATTTTTAAATCTATGATTTGGAATTAAAAAGGAAAGTTTAATAATGGCAAATAAAGTTTATTTACCTTATATGGCTTTTGCCCAAAGGAAAATGTCTCCCACATTAACACACCAAAACTCCAAACATCACTCTTGCTAGAAAATTTGAAGAAGTTCATGCATTCTGGAGCATACCATTTAACTGGCCATTTGCCATGATGTTCTGCCTGTAATGACACCCAAAATTAAAGAAAACAGTAAAATACATTGGTGTATTATATCGATCAAGCACAACTATAAAAGAATCAGAAAACATGTTCCATTTTAATTGTTCAATGAACCACAATTTGTTGTTGCAACCCAGAGGTTTTATAGAATGTATTTATAAAATAGATTTATTATGCAATGACACAGTAACAGTAATTAATAAAGAACAAATAAATTATATAATATCAGGTAATTACTCATTGGCAAAATTGTTATAAGAACAAAATCATCATCAGTTAATGGTACTATAGAAGAAATGTTTATAACATTCAGCTGCTGTTCAAGCAAAACTTGCCAATCTCCACATCTTCTCTGTGTTCAATAAGAATTCAATCTTATCTGAATCTGGCTAGAATACTTTGCTTTTTAGAAGAGCTTCTAATTATTTGGTATGGGTAGCTGAAGAAGTTGGGATAGCCTATAAAATGCTTTTTTTTAAAAAAGGGGTAGACTCGCTGGGAGTGTGAATGTTTTAGGCCAGGGGTCTTCAAACTTGGCCCTTTTATGACTTGTGGACTTCAACTCCCAGAATTCCTCAGCCAGGCATGCTGGCTGAAGAATTCTGGAAGTTGAAATCCACAAATCACAAAAGGACCAAGTTTAAAGACCCCTGTTTTAGGCAATGACTATCATATATATTCCATGCTGTTTGTTGCATCCCTAATCTTACTAATGATGTCTGGACAGAAGGGATAATACAATAGCATTCCCTCCAGTTTTGTGTTAGGTAGCTATACAAATTGAATAAATATATTTCAGACATTGCTTGCATTTGATCTTAATTTTTAGTATTGCATATCAAGAGGCACCTTTATTGATAACCACTAAACTTAAATCAACTTTTGCAAAACTATCAAATATCTTGTTCTTAAAAGTCCATGGAACTATCACATTTTTCCGAGATGCAATTTTCTTTTTTGCTGCATTCACAAGTGTAGATGAGGTCTCTTAGTGTTTTGATCCAGAAGGGATATATTGTTGGAATATATTGCATTTTCTCTAACAGGGGAAATTTAGGCAACCAGGAAACTGAAAGGAAATGTATAGTATTCCAGTACTAAAAAGCACTGGTCATGATGCTTGTTTGAATAAGTTGACTGCCAGCCCCTGCATAGAGAAAGATATGGGGATATCTTTTGGGATTCCCAAAATGATTCTTAAGAATTTATTTTTTTTAAAAAATGAGTTTGCATTATGAAGAAAGGTTCCAAAACTCAGCTTCATAGAGGGTAAAAAAGGCTAACTTAAGTTTGAGGCAATGTAATATTGGATGAATGTGATAATCATCAACAGTACACTACCATTTCAGTAGCTGTTGTTGAATCTTAATTTCAGGGGCACATTATTGAGCCAGGTCTCTCTCTCTACTGTAAATAAAAAGCCAAGGTAGTAACAAGAAAACACTTGATTTCTGGACAAGGTGCCCAATTTTCATTCATCTTTCATTTATGTCTAGGAGAATTTTGCCTAAAATCTCTAACTTTTGTTTTTATAACTGATGGCCCTACTTTTTGCAATCAACTCCCCCACTAACTATATTTGGAGTCTGATCTTCTGAAATCTGAAAAGATCCTCACAACTCGTTTTTTTCAACTGTGGTAGCCAACAATGGTTTAAATTATAGTAGTATTGGAGTTAGTGTTTTTTTATGTTTACACATACACATGTATTGTTTATATTATATTGTGATATGTTATACACATACACTATATTGTATGCTTATTCTAGTGTTAAATATAAGCCTACATCAAACAAAAATATTATAGCAATTCTACAGATTTCTCTGGGAGCAGATGGCAGATGCTATTGGTCTTCACTTTGGTATTCATGAATATTTTTTTCCATTGAAAAATGAAAAGAATGACTCACTCTCTGATATTTCTGGAATGGGGACCATGAGTGAATGAGGTGGATTTTACAGGAAGCATCTGGCCCATCCCTAACTATAAAGAAACTGATGCCATTAGAAACAATACTAGAATTCTTCCAGTGAATTCTAGCTCCTTGATTCACTCAGCTTATACAAATTATAGCTGATAAATTTTAAGTAATGTTTAGCAGTGACTTTTGTGATGTTCTAATAAATGTTTTCCCCAACAAGTCATATATATTTAATAAATAAGCATAACTTCACTGGGCTTCAAAAAGCTTAATTACAGGAAGAAATGTTCTATTCAATTCTTTTCTCCCAACAAATTTGCGCAAGGCATAAAGTTGAGCAAGAGCTGAATTATAGTGACATCACAGTTCACATTGATATTTGATGATAAAAAACTTAAAACATGTTAAAGGATGGAAAAATTACCTTGTAGTAATCATTAGAACCAAGAGCTTTTGAAAGTCCAAAGTCACTTATTTTGGCATAATGTTGTGTAACCAGAAGCACATTTCTTGCAGCTAAATCTCTGTGTACAAAATTATTTTCTTCCAAATATTTCATTCCCATGGAAACCTGATGCACCAGCTCTATTAGGTTCTTTTCTGTGACATCTCTGCAAAATCAAACCTGACTTTTAGAAACCTATTTCTTTTTACATTCTTCATTCCTCATCCCCACCCAGTAGGGAGCAGATACTAATGATACTGTCAAGATTGAAAACTTGGCAGTTACATGCCTGGACTTTATTTGGATACTCAAGCTGGAGGTTGACAGGTACAATGAATAAATATTCCAACTTAATTGCTTAATAAGGACTAATTAATAGTCCTTATGCATTCATTCCATTTCATACATTATTGCTAAATTTTTATTATATCCATGTAGCATCCAAATAGTCTAGAATAGAGGTGGAATACTTTCCTCCCAGTCTTGTACAGTCTCAGAAACCTTCAGAAATTGTCAATGGATTGTAAATTTTAATGTGACATAATTATGATTTGACAGGTGATTATTATTTATACAGGAAATAAATATACTAGTTGAATTAATCTTTTAAACTAATCTTTTAAATTCAAATAAAATTAAAATTTTCTGCTCTTTGCTCATTTCTTTGTCCTGATCTTAACAAATGTTTGGAATGTGCCCTGAAAAGCTTGACTTAGTTGGTTTACAAGCAAATGCCAACCATTAAATAGAGATTTTCTGGAAAGTAGACTTTGCAGGGATCAAAGGTTCACCTAAACCAGGTGTGGGGAATGAAGGCCCTTTTATGACTTGTGGATTTCAACTCCCAGAACTACCCTGGCTTGTCCTAGCAAGAATATATACCGGTACTCAATCAATATCACAATTAATATGATATAATTAGGAAGTATGTTGATGGTGTAGACCAGAGGTGGGGAACTAGGCCCAGTATTCTTCAATATCTTCATAAATGACTTAGATGAGGGAATTGAAAGGGAACTCATCAAATTTGCAGATGACACCAAACTGGCAGAAGTAGCCAATACCCCAGAAGACAAAATCAGGATCCAAAAAGATCTTGACAAAATTGAACAATGGTTCCTGTCCAACAAAATGAGTTTCAATGTGAAGAAATGCAAAGTTTTACATTTAGGCAGGAAAAATCAAAGGTACAAGTACAGACTGGGCTAGACCTGGCTTAAAAACAGTAACTGTGAGAGAGACCTTGGAGTCCTAATGGATGATCACTTAACCATGAGCCAGCAGTGTGCAGCAGCAGCCAAAAATACAATCCTGGGTTGTATAAACAGAGGCACAGAATCAAGATCACATGAAGTATTAGTATCACTTTATAAAACCCTAGTAAAACCACACCTGGAATATTGCAGCCAATTTTGGTCACCATATCACAAAAAAGATGTTGAGAGTTTGGGAAAAAATCAGAGAAGAGCAACTAAGATGATCAAAGGCCTGAAGACTAAAACATACCAAGAATGACTGCAGGACTTGGGTTTGGCTAGTCTAAAGAAAAGAAGAAACAGGGGAGACATGATAGCAGTATTCCAGTATTTGAAGGGCTGCCACAAAGAAGAGGGGGTCACGTTATTCACCAAAGCACCAGAGGGTAGGACAAGAAACAATGGTTGGAAACTGAACAAAGAGAGAAGCAACCTAGAATTAAGGAGAAACTTCCTGACAGTGAGGACAATTAACCAGTGGAACAGCTTGCCTCCAGAAATTGTGGGCACTCCATTACTGGAGATTTTTAAGAAGAGGTTAGACAGTCACTTGTCTAAGATGGTATAAGTTCTCCTGCTTAAGCAGGGAGCTGGACTAGAAGACCTCCAAGGTTCCTTCCAGCTCTATTCTATTCTATCTGAGACTTCAACTCCCAGAATTCCTGAGTCAGTACGGCTGGCTCAGGAATTCTGGGAGTTGAAGTCCACAATTCATAAAGGGGCCATTGTTTCCCACCTCTGGCCTAAACAGACTAAACCATTTACATTTGTGACATTTCTATATTGCAGTGACTTCCATGCTCTGTAAATGTACTTGTGGAATACTAAATTCAGCAAAAATCGCAGCCATGCACTCAGGTAATCAGGGATGGCAAGTCAAAATATATATCCTTTATATGAATACAGCATAACCATGTATATTTGTATTCAGTAAATTCACTTGTAGTAAAATTCAGTGGTCTGTCACAAAGCTGTATATATGCCTTCAACGTAAATTGAAGAATAAAATGTTAATTTTGAAAATGTCATTGTTATGAAAATGTTTGCTTTTGAAGTATTCAAAATTTCAATTTTCAGATATTACAAAAACTGTTATTTTCATATAACTTGCACTTTCCAATGAGCAGCGATCATTATAATTATCAGTTTAGATTCCATCCATTATTGGTCAAAACTTGCCAACTTACTGTCAACTCACCCATGTTTTAACAGATATTTATTCAAGGGGCCAAGCTCAGCCATTTCCATTACCAACATCCAAGATTCAGCTTCACATATCCCAATCATTCGGACAATATATGGGTTATCAAGTTGTTGCATTACATTTGCTTCTCTTAGGAGTTCATCTTTTATTGCTGGATCATTACTTTCATTTTTGAGAATTTTCACAGCCACAGTTTTCTTTCCTCTATAACAGAAATTCCAAGAAAACAGAATTATGTTAAGCTTAGGAGAAGGGCAGATGGCTGGAAATGAGGTGGCCTATTTCTGCCCTAAAATAAATTTTGCTGGCCAGCAGTAGTTCACTTGCTTTTCTTTGTTGACATTTTCCAAACAGAATCAGCCTTAATTTCAAATCTGTAGATACCATTTTAATATTTTAAGATCATGAGGCCATTACTGTGGCTTTATCAGAAGTTCCAATTCTTTAATCTATGTTTGAAATATTCCAAAAGAGTCCACTTTCAGATTTTTCTTGTACTTTTGATAGAGATATAGTATACTATAGATGTTATTTCTGTAATGGATTCCATCACACAAGAAAGCAACTCAGGTGCTTTTGAGGCAGCCAAAGGACCTGGTTCATACTGATCCCTCAAAACATGCTTAAACTGAAGACACCTCCACTGTTGCAAACTGGGAAGCCAAAATCCAATTTGAAGTTGGAGAAAATCCTTAAACTAGTCATTATATCATAGCTGATTTAAAATCATGATCCAACTTGTATCTTAGCTTTCAAATTAAGTTATTTACCATCAATTTTCAAAATAGAATTTTCCCAAATAGTTAGATGTTCATGAGTCCCTATCACAACTCAATTTACATCCTAAAATGGCTTGTAGATTTCTCACCACTAGTTTTCCTAGAAATCTTTTCTGCCACATGTTTCAAGAGCTTGCCATAGAAAATAGCACAAAGGAAATAGATAATAATTGCCAAACTTAACCCATAAAAGATAATATTTGATTATATTTTCATTTCATGAAGACACGCTAATAAAAACCTTGGACCAGTGGTATTTTTGACCTGTATGATGTGGTACTTGACCCATACTGAGATATATAATAACAATAACAATAACAATATTGTCACTTTAAATGTACACCAATCGGCATACATCAAAATGAATATGGTAATGTGATCATTTAGTATTTTTGGGTGATAGCGTATTAATGTATATTAATAGATATATGGGTACATTTTCAAATGTTACAAATATGTTAATATAATGTTGAAGTTTTGGAATTTATCAAGAATTGTGATTGTATTGAGCATGGGGGGGTGGCCCATTGCAAAACAATTATGTTAAAAAAATGGAAGATATCAAGGGATGGATGTCAGAAATGTATGACCAATCTGTTTTGAAAAATGCAAAACAGATTATTTTCTAGCAATCAAAGGATGCAGTAATATATGTTACTATAGCACAGATTCTGTGATATCTTACAATGATATCTTGTGTTATAGTAGTGAATTCATTGGTAAATCACTGTCTATTGATAAGTATAAAATATTAGATTTTTCTTTTCTTTCTTAGTTTGTACTTTTGATTTTTTTCAGATTAAAGTTTGTTTTGTTACCAAAAATAAATAATAATAATAATAAAATAAAATATAAGTTGCACACATAACATTTTTCCCAACAGAAAGGGCAAAGATATATAGAAAACATTATTTGTTAATTACATAGTTTACCAGATTAAAATTAAAATGCTAATTTTCATATGAACAAATTATAACAAATAAATTTAAATAAGAATACTGTTATGCTAGGCTGTAATCCAAACTACTCTTTGTAGCCTAATTAAATGAAACTTCTGTATAAATATATACAAAACTGAATTTTAAGGATACAATTATATCCATATTCATAAGGAAGATTCAGACTGAAATTTGGTAAGCAATTATTGCACTTAGTGGAACTTCTGACTGAGCTCAGAGAGAATAAACTGCCAAAGTCTTTGGTTTAAAGATAACACACTAGATTTTTGTTATACAACTGGAATCCAGTGCAAAGATCTGTGATTTAGTTTCATTATGTTAAAGTAATAAACTATTGTTTATGGGAACAACTCTATATTCACTTCAAATTACCAAGTGTTTTGGAAGGTTATAACAAATGAACAATATTCATTTGATTGAACCTACTTAATTTTTAATTCTATGTTAGATAAAGGGTTTCATACAAACTTTTTCTAATAATTACTGTAAGAACAGTATCAAAATCCAATAAAAAAGAGGATACTAAACAAATAAAGATGGGGAACAATAACCTACTTTTTCATTTCATAAGTGCCTTTTTTTACTGTACCAAAATTACCAGAACCAAGTTCTTTATCTTCCAAAGTCAGTAAATTTCGGTCAAGAGTGACATTTTTAGCTTTCACTTCTTCTGGATCTGCATATGGACTTTCGTAAACTTCTGTATCCATAGGCAAAGGTTCCCTCTGTTCACCTGTTAAATGAACAGAACTTACCTTATTACAATAGTCATTTGTAATCTGTCCTTATTGAATTTAAAATATGAACTTCAAAATATTAGCTCAAAATGAGGCACATTTTTTTCAAATAATCATAATTATATTTTAGTTTGAACTTCGGCATTGAACTATAATGCTTTTATTACTATGCTATTTCATGCATATGGTTCTCATTTGCTTTTGTACATCTTAATGAATCACATATAGTTTCAAACTTTGTGAAATCAGACAGAATTAATCCTTAGAAGAAAGGAAATGTCTTTTCATGAGGAACACCCAAACTCTGGACTAATCTATTTTCTGACAAATAGGCAAAGGATTTCTTGGATAAATTTTCTAAAAATACATTTGTGTTATAAATTATCCCAATTAGTCAGTCTTTCTGTTGCTATTGCTGATTTTATTTCCACATACAAACTATTTTATTCAAAAGGGAAAAAAAGATATTCATCAATGTGAATGTGATTTAAAGACAACTACAAGAGTCTTGGGTGTGGTTTCCAGCCAGTATTACAAAATAATTTGGAATGGAAAGAAAGATAGGCAAAACAAAGCCTTTTCCAAAGATTCCATATTAAAGAACAAATGTCTTTTTTGATGTTGACCAAATAAATTTATAGCCATAGAAAATTATTTGGAGCATTTATTGAGGCTAGAGTCCCCTTTAGACTCTACTGGGAAGGGCCATGTTAGATACAAAATGTAAGGAAGCTTTTATACCAGTTAGTAAAAAGTAAGAACAAAAGATCCAAAAGGCTAGCTATGCTGGCTAAGACACCCTCTATTTACTGCCCTTTTGTAAGGTCGTGTAGACCTGGTTCTTTCCCTAGGCACTGGAGTTGGGTTGTCAGCACTGGAGCTTTGGCATGGATATATGCAATAACAATAGCAATAGTACTTAGACTTATATACCACTTCACAGTGCTTTACAGCCCTCTCTAAGTGGTTTACAGAGTCAGCCTATTGCCCCCAACAATCTGGTTCCTCATTTTACCGACGTCGGAAGGATGGAAGGCTGAGTCAACCTTGAGCTGGTGAGGTTCAAACCCCCCGCAGTCAGCAGAATTAGCCTGCAATACGGCATTTTAACTACTGTGCCACCACACCGTAGTTTATATACAGTTTTATAAGTTTTTGGATTTTAATGGAATTCTTTGCTTTTATCTGGTTTGCTGCTCAGAGTTTATTGGATAGATGGATGGCTGTATAAACTGGATAAATAAATAAACTGAAGTCCAGCATTTTTCCAGGCACCAGGTAAGAGAAAAATTGGAGAAGTCTGGTCCACAGTTATACAAAGCACCAATATATCTCAATCAGTGTAATCTTAGGCCAATGTGAGACCTGAACAATTGATTTCACTTGTTTGCAGTGAAATAAATAAGCACTTTAACTTGTGAATAATTACCTTCACTGCCTGTATTTTAGACATTATCAGAAATGATACAAAAACATTACATACCTCGTTTTGCCCATGAGGGTGCATAATTGTTAAACATTGCAAGCAGTGCAGAATCATCTCTCTGGCCAGGAATAGAGAAAGATGGCTGTGACACAAACAGATTTTTTTTATTTCAATCATTTGGGGTCAAAGAGAAGGACAACATTAAGAAGAAAATTACATGATAAACATTAAGCAAAAACAACATGCAAGCGGAGTTAAAGAAAGGGAGCAAATCTTACCTAAATTTTTGAAAAGTTATTTGCTGCTTATATTTGGTAGTAAAATAAGGCTTACAATGAAAAAGCATAAAGATTTCTGCAAAATATTTTAAATAATTTCCTAAAGAAGGAATTAAATAACACTTTTATATTTCAGTTATAGACAACTATAGATCTTATTTTGGAATCCCGTGTCCACTGAAACAAGAACTGCTCAATGTTTTTCTTCTAATATATTTTATATTTTCACTGCTATTTTTCATTTTATAAACCATTCTTCAAAAGTGCATGGACTTTGAAGCAGTAATTTGGAAAATAAATGTAATTTACTGGTCTAGCATTATTTGAAACTAACTTATCTCTAAATATCTCTTATTGCTTTTCCCATCCATTGATCTATGCTTTTTTATGCAAATGAATAAAAATGAAAAGCTGATTAACATATTAACATATAACATATTAAGCTTGCTTGGAACACTAGAAAACTGACAAATACAAATGTACCAGGATAAACAAGTGATGCAATAGATAATTGTGGTGGCCATAAAATCCTTCCTTCCTTCCTTCCTTCCTTCCTTCCTTCCTTCCTCCCTCCCTCCCATATTTTTGCAGATCAATATGTATTTGAATCAAAACAATGTCTACATACATTACATACAGAATGAAATATTTTGTGGAAACTAGTTTTAACTACAGTATATTACAGCAATAACAGCATTTTGCTAATATGTTTCAATATTTTTATCACTTTATCTGTAAATTCAATTTTAACATGCTTCCACCTAAATTGTAGAATTTGTACAAAAACTGATATTCCAAGAAAGTGGAAATGTTGAAATAAATTTGATTTAAAAAGCCAAGCTACAAAGAGATTATATTGCTAGCAAAACAATTTAAGTGTTTTTTTAAAAAAAATACAACTAGCAACCTGATATGTTTATTTATAAATAAAATGTATAACTGCATAAATATTTACAAATTAACATATATTTAGAGTTGCCTCTACGATGGCAATTGGAAGTCTGAGTACTATTTGGTGCATCACTTTTCATAGAAAGAGTAGAAGTCAATTACAAATGCTTTTAACATAAAATCTGCTGCTACTAATCACTTATTTGTTATATATGCCACAGAAAAGGAAAATAATTGTTACTGGTACTGAATGTTTTAAGGGAATATGTAGTAATTAATAGATGCCTATGAATTTCACAGTATATACACTATGTAAGTACCTACAGTATATCTGCTAGGAAAATGTAAGAACCCTATTTTGAATGAAGCAGAGAAAAACAGAGATATGTAAGATGACTGATCCGTTAATGTTCCTGTCTCCTCCAAAGCACTTGATTCTCTCTTTAGCAATGGGGAACTGAAAGTGTTGAAACTGACAGAACTAAATTGATTGGAGAATTACTTTTAAATATGAAATTCATTCATATGAGACTAACACAATTAAGGAGAGAGGCAAAATAAATTAACTTTTCCCTATTTAGTTATGAAGAAGTGAGTATGATCCATTTGATGGGAAAAGAAACAAGCATTTGTAAATCTGTTTTGGAAATTAGGCATCTCCTTTATGTAACATTTATGTAAAATGCATAAAACTCATTTCTTATAATAGGCTGTGAATAAATATAATATTTATGTTCGTTTTAGACTTATCAACATAGTTAACGTTCTAATAAAATTGTTCTAATACTTTTCTATTAGAAGAGTTTCCATAGCACAATGAGATCCATGAACTATTTTATTTAATGTATATCAGATAGGAATTAGCATTGGACTAGGAACTGGAAGGCCTTGAAAGAGATTATAAAGTGGCAATCAAAACACTCAAAATCACCAATACAGTTATTATAGTTTGAGAGGTAAGTAGCAGAAATAAGTCTAATGCTTTGAATTATGTAGACAAGGGATTCATAAACTCTGGGTCATGATCTCCTGGTGAAGTCTTAAGTAGCTTTGAAGGAAATTGCATTTCTGCTACTACATCTGGAGGGCGCAGCCTCTCTGACTGCTAGCTTAGGATTCAACACTTATTCAATGACATTTTCTGTAACTCTTTCTATACCTTTCTACTCCTAGTGGCCTCTTTATCCTCTTCTTCGGCATCTCTACGGGGTTGGGAAGTTGGTCTATTCAGCCCTGCACTCACACTCACTCCAGTCTAGCTAACATTACTTCACAGAAGAGGACAACACATCCCAAAGGGAGGCCAGTAAACTTAGGCTGCTTCATGTTTACACCTGCTTGTAAAATACTTAGTTATTTTCAATTTAACCACCATAATTATTCTAAAACAAATCACTGTTGTATTTCAAAACAAATAAAATGCAAGCCCAAGTATTAATTATATAAATTAAGAAGTCAGAGCTGAAGGAAGTTGCTAGATGCTCACAGAAGATTAGCAACAAGAGGCAAAGTAAACTACAAAAAGGTTGCAAGTCAGCAAAGTGAAGGTAATTTTTAAATGTATGGAAAGACTTAACAAAGCCGTGTTTAGTTGCACCTTGTGGCTTCCTGGCTTTGGGAAAGTGTATGATTTGATTCTGGTGATAATTCCACCTGTTGTCCAAGTCTAGAAACCATAAAGGATATCAAAAGAATAAACAAACGTATGAAGAAAATATGAAAAAATCCATATCTATTTTTTTCAGTCATTCACAATAGATCTGTTCCAAGTAAAGCATATTTTGTGAAGTACATTGTAATAACTGATTTTTAAAGTTAAGTGAATGTTTGCTTCCATAAAAACTCTGGATAAATTCAAACTTTAAATTATTTTAAAAGAGATCCACTAAAATCAATAGATCTTAAATTATTCATCTGCAGTTTTATTGATTACAATGGCATATTATAAGTATTCTGGATTTCATGACAATGGGTGCATTTTTAATTAGAACTTTTGGTTTTGTAGTCAGCTTGCTATGTTGCTAGTTTTAAAGATTATAACTGGGAAATATAGCTTTATGACTATATATTTAGCAATAATAGGAGAGATGTTAAGAAATTTTCTGGGTTGGAAAACTTCAATTTTTTAAATTTCTTTTCCCCAATGATTCAATTTGTTTTCTGTATATTTGAATACTGCAAATTGAATTTAATTTATTCATAACATACACCATCCTCATGTAATCAATTAAGAAAAAAGTTTTATCAGTTTGGTCTAATTAATGCATCTATGGAAATATACATATACTGTAAATAGCTTTTGGGAAATCAAAGTTTTTGGAGATTCTTCCTAGAGGAATTTATGATACATATTCATTCCTTCCAGGCATAGGTACTTGGGCAATTGCTTCACAAATCTATCACAAATAACCATCTGTACACAAATTTAAGGCCTAGTTTGCTTAAACATGTTTGCAGATAAGCATAAATGGTTAGTATCATCTTAAACTATAAAGCAGAGGTCCCCAACCTTTTGGGCACCAGGGACCGGTTCCATGGAGAGAGGTTTTTTTGTGGAACAGAGGGTGTGTGATTTTGTGTACTGCCTGCATCTCGTGGATGGGTCTTTGCTTGTTTGTGTGGCCCGGCTGCTGGCATGCCGCGGCCCAGGACTAGTCCACGGACCGGGGGTTGGGGACTCCTGCTATAAAGCACCAATTTATAAGGTACAATGATTTACCAACCAGTCACATTATGACTTATCACGATTAATAGATTATGTCTAAGATAAGAAGCTAAAAGAGTATTTTAACTAGTGCAAACAAGCTTAAAACAATCATTTTCACTTACATGCTTGTTCTAGCACTGAAGTAAATGGAAAAGATAAAATCCAATCTTACAAACTAGGACAGGAATTTCCAATGGTGTTTAATGCTTGAGACTAAAAGCCTTATTGGTTTGTGCTCATTATTTTCTCTGCTTCTTCAAATATCTTATATGAATCTATGTAACTTTGTCACATACAATATTTTTTTAAAAATATAATCCCATCATGGTCTCCAATTATATTTTCTACTTCTAATGCATTCAAATCCTATATGCACTTGCTTACAGAGCAAACTAATATATCTAAAACTACTTATTTCATTAGTTATTCTGAAAACAGGATTGACGTTTCAAAATTTAAAATAGCTATTATTTTATTTTTATCAGATAAAACCCCATATATGAATATTCAGTAATCACGGGTGCTATAGTTGCCTTTTAACAAATTAATATTATGTAACATTTTAAAAACAACAAAACATATTGAAGAAAATGCACAAAATGTAATTTGCAACCTTATTTGTAATTAAATGTAATTTGAAACTTATTTATTCAGCAAGAGTAAATACATAAACCATGCTGAACACTTAAATATTGCCATACTTTATATTATTTAAAATATTATTGGTTTTCACCAATTCATTTTCTTACCATGGAGTTGCGAGGCTTAGAAACTTTGGGGGGTAATGTCCCTAAGGTAAAAAGATATATCAATTACTATAAAAATATCAGTTGTGACTTATTATTAAGATCAGCATCAAGGAGCAAAGACAGGTAGAAACTTTATCTCCATGCAAAGACAAATCCAGTTCCCTTTTTTTTTTTTAAATGAAACAGTAAAGAAATGAGCACACGTGAATTGATCCTGGAACAGATTTTTCTGGAACAGAAAAGGTTATGTATAAATTTTTGTCTCCTTCTCAAGAGGATGTTGTACTTTTGCAATTTACTGGAGAGTTTTTCAACAGGCTGAAAAGTAGAAGAACCTCATTATTAGTTCATCATTAGCAAATGATGAAATTGGGAACAAAATGTAATAACTCTTCCTAAAATTGGCCCCAGAGGGAGAGAAATCTTATCACGTCAGGTTTTCCTGATGTGTAAACTAATTACAGTTTATTATAAATCAAGAAAAAGTTGGTTTTGTACAATAGTGAAGACATGGACACTTTGTTTTACCAGCACTCCTAGTGGAAGTTTGGTTTTAGTGACATGGATCTACAACCTGAAAGCAGCCAAGTTATCTAGAGGTCACTTTAACATCAATATTTATGGGAGTCACACTTCATTTGTGCAATGTGCTAGGAAAAAAAATCTTTCAAATATTTGCACACTTTTCATTTACAAGAATATGTCATTCATATCTGATCCAATTTCATTTTGAAGATGGAATGGATCACATATTGGTACATAAAAGTCCCTCTGCCCTCATACACGCCTACACCATGTCTCACCACTCCAAACTGAGAGAAAACAATGTTTTCTCTAATTGATGCAATAAATACTTATTATATTTTTAAGCAACTGTATTTCAGAAAAAATAAGTTAATTATGCCAGTAATGACAGTTAGGGTACTTTTAATTTAATTACTAGGAATTTGCCTCATCTTGACACAATCAGATGTTAGTAATGCACACTGTATGGATTTGACTTCAATATTTTAAAAATATAAGCTACTTACTATTTCTTGACTGAAAATCTGGATCACGCACTGGCTCTGTGATTATTCTTAGAAGTCCATCTGCTTTGTAGGAATAATGTTCCACTAGCTATCATGTAGATGAAATAAAATAGCAGCAATGAAGCCAGAATAAATGCATGCACAAGGTATTAAATCTTTAGTTCCAGTCCACAAATATAATTTTGGATTATAATTTCTACTTAATACTGCACATAAATATATTTCAATGAATAAGCAGGATAAGTTCCTGGAACTTGTAAAATTCATAAGAATATGAGAACTTTTGATAAGTAATTTTATTAAAATTAGAAAGCTATCATGAAAGAATTTGTAGCATTTCAAGTACAAGCGCCATTTATAGAATAAATATTCAAACCTTTTGTATCATATTATATTGTTCATCCTTTTTAATGGACTACTTGGCTGCTTCTTGGGGCAGAAGGTCCAATATCCGCCAGTCTTGTTTTGATAACAGATGTGATATCAGACTGTTTTCCTCTAAAGTATGGGAGATTTAATTCTCATAATAAAATGACCTGTGAGCTGTGCACAAATTTCTTTTTTTCATTAACTATTGACTAATTAGATTTCTGCAGATATTAAACTTGAACACCCCAAGATTAAAAATATAGTGAGGCAACTGCATGTATGCAAACTATCTCATATGTGAAAAGTATATAAATATATAAGCATTAGAAAATTTTATTGTATGGAACAAATTGCTATAAATTTTGCATGTTTGTGTTGTGATGCTACAATGCATAATTTATTTAACAAATTTAAATGGCTGCCCATCTCACTGAATGTGAATCTAGATGAAGTACAACCAACAATTAAACTAATGTCACAACCATTAAAAAAACTTAAAAAATAGAAAAAGAGTTGCTATCTTTCAAATATATTTATCAGTTTCAGCTGGGGGGGCAATTTATATATATATTTAGTTGGGGGGACAATTTATATATATATATATATATATATATATATATATATATGTATGTTTTGTTTTGTTTTCTTTTTATTCATGTTTCTTTGCATGTAGTCTTGTCTAATGTTTCAAATAATTTTTTCTCCCAAAAAGTTAATTTTGTTTGTTGCAATGATTTGCCTTCTTTCCAAGATTACAATATTTTCCAAGGTAGTCTCTCTTTTGAGAGATTTTATAACTGAAATTCACTCAAGGTACAGAAAACATCTGAAATATTCTGAAATGGAATCCTAGATTTTTTTTCAGTAGCTATTTTCATTTAGATCGAAATGAAGATCTAAACAGATCTAAATATAATAGATCTATAATAGATTTATTATAATACATCTTTCCAAATTTGCTGTGCCACAAAACATGCTGGGTTATCTTAATTGGATAGGTTAATTTAATCAATATTAAACATGGCATATTTTATACACACAACCACACACAACATACATACATAAGGCTTCAATAAATGTGACTAAGAAAATAATTACAGCAATTGTTAAAAAATGTGGATACTTACAGCAACATAAATATGTATACAACCAGCATATAAGTTCAATAGATAGTTAAGTGAAGAGCATTCAACAAACCTGGCATAAAGTATCAAATTTCTTTCCAGCTGGTATTGACAGTTTTCCTTTCTTGTCTTTATCAATGCGATAATGTAGTACCTTGCCTTCATTGAGTAAACAAAGAGCATAGGATCCATTGTTATCTCTTTCCCTAATCCTAAAAATTAAAAGAATAATAAAGTAAATTATAGTCTAAAATAAAGAGAAGGGGTATGAAAATCTAACTTAATATTCATGACAAAACATGTTGGGACACATTGTCCAAACTACAATCATTAACTGCTCCTGCCAACAGTAGGTAAACAAAAATGATTATTATGTGGTTCAAATTGAGATTTTTTTTAAAAGAATGAATAATTTATTTTAAAAGGAAAAGGATAAAAAAGAAACAAATTGCAAATTACATGAAAAAGTTTGCAGAATAATGCTAAGATGAAATTAAAATGAAAGTAGAATTTATTCCATTGGAAGAAGCATCTCAAATTTTATCTTTATATAACCAATTATATTTGGATCAAAACAATTATATAGAGTAAGAGAGTTGGAAGGGACCTTAGAGGTCTTCTAATCTGACCTTCTGCTCAGGCAGGAAGCCTTACACTATTTCAAACAAATGGTTGTCCAATCTCCTCTTAAAAACTTCAAGTGTTAGAGTATTCACAACTTCTGGGGGCAAGCTGTTCCACTGATTAATTGTTCTAACTGTCAGGAAATTTCTCCTTAGTTCTAGATTGCTTCTCTTCTTGATTAGTTTCCATCCATTGCTTCTTGTCCTGCCTTCAGGTGCTTTAAAGAATAGGTTGACTCCCTCTTCTTTGTGGCAACCTCTGAGATATTGGAACACTGCTATCATGTCACCCCTAATCCTTCTTTTCATTAAACTAAACATACCCAATTTCAGCAACCATTCTTTATAGGTTTTAGCCTCCAGTCTTATAATTTCATGACATTTTAATATTTCAGCAGTTTCAATATTGTTATATTAATTGTTATTAAAAATAAATTTTAAATAAATTTTAAAGATCTAGCCACTGAAAATAAATAATCTTAGTTTAAAGATCTTAGAACACTTATTTTAAGAGCTCAATCTCTGATATGGCAACAAGCTATTTACAGATGAAATGTGACTTACAAGGTATCCTGGCAGCAATTATATATAAAGACAGTTCAATCTATTTTGTATGTTTATATAAAATTTAGCAATACTAATAGGAAAATAACTGATAGCAAACGAAAGTCAGTATTTATAATTTGGTTCATCCTGCTGTTGATCATTTGCTACAAAAAATACCACCAGATACGATAAAGCATTACACCTTGATTCTTCTTGCATTTTCAAAAAATTTCTGAATATATATTATCTATTTTAGCAGAAAAACAAAACATTTTTCTCTTGGTGTATTATGAATTATAGAAAATTTGATGTTTGCCTGCCATAATTGGATTGTACTACTCACTTGTAGATATTGAAACCATGAAATGGTTCATTTTGGAGGTGGGAGGAGGAAGAGGAAAAAACCAGGTGATTTCTTTAGGCAATCTCTCTCACGTTTGATATCTACCACCGTCCCTCTCTTGCAGAACAGAGAGATTGGAAAGGAAGGGATGACAAGAGAGTAAGTGGCACACAACAGGGAATATACCTATCAAGAAGAATCTGTTTTGCTTCATAATTTAAATGTTAAGTGAATCTGGGTTCCCCACTGACTTTGCTTGTCAGAAGGTTGCAAAAGGTGGTCACATGACCCCAGGACACTGCAGCCATCATAAATGTGAGTTAGTTGTCAAGCATCTGAATGTAAATCACATGACCACGGGGATGCTGCAACGGTCATAAGTGTGAAAAATTGTCATAATTCCCTTTTTTCAGTGCCATTGTAACTTTGAACGGTCACTAAACAAACTGTTGTAAGTCAAGGACTACCTATAGAGCAACCTACCTCAATCTGATGCCTTCCAAATGCTTTTGGGCTAAAATTGCAGTTTTATACACCCAGATGGCACCAGATAAGGAGGACTACCATACAAATTGGTTTCATTTTTTACTTACGATCTCCCCTTCCCCTAATCATGTTCTTAAAAGGTTATATTTTTAAAAAGTATAAACTAAGGAAAAATGAAGGTCAGTAAAAAAAAAAACAATGTGTCATTCTGTGACACATTCTGTAAAAAAAGATATAACTGATATGATCTTAATACATTATTTCCAAGTCTCCATGAATGATTAGTATATTCCAGTTCCTGATACATTATCATTCTGTGTATTTTTTGATTGACCTATAAATAGTTTAGATCTAATAAAAAAGGCAGGAACTACAAATAGTTCAGAATATTTTTATTTGCAAATTACAGCATTTTTCTGCATTTACAGAATTTAGACTTTCATACAATCTAGTTCAGGTTTTCAGGATACTAGAAAAGAGTTTCATAATAAAATCACAAACGACTTCCAGTTTGCCATCATGGCACCTCTGGATGCATGAAGGCGAGCTCCGTCTTCTGCGTCCGATTTCATCCCACTGGGGGACCCTGGAAAGGGTCGAAAGTCACTCTATAGGGGCGATGAGAAAGGAGGGGATCTCCACCTAATCCCGGGAGGGCGGCAGCCCTTCCACTTGATTCAGGGTAGCTCTCCAAACCAGCAGGGGAAAGACCGGCCATAGCAATATGGCTTATTATTAAGCTGCTGACAGCCGAAGTCAAAATTACTACCAAGCATCTTTAAAGCAACGTGGATGAAACTGGATGACATCTGATCTTCTCTTTAAGAGTTTAAATATCTTTTCCTGCAAAAGCTGTCCAAAGTATTTTTCTCCCTGTGAGGAGAGAGGGAAGGGAATCTCTACCCCACCCTCTAAAAACAGCAGCGACTGACTATCCAGGGAAAACAGAGCAATTATATGAACATCTAATTGGATGCATATACTTTTGAAATTTGGGGACTAAAAGTTTTCCTATTCTTACTGGAGACATTGGTTTTTATCTAAAAGGAAAAGAAATAAACCTTAAAAAACTATTATAAAAACTGGGACTTAAAAAGTTTTAAATGGCATCGGTGACATCTTGTGGCAAAGTATGGTATTACAACTTGTTATTGACTAAAAGAGACTTGGCTTGAAGCCCAGAATCTAGAAAAAAACTCTCTTGACTTTGACAGATACCACCTGTGAAAAACTCAGCTGTAAAGAAGGAACTAACGAATCATCTCTCTATTATTCCAAATCCCCATAGTTGTTCTGATATGTTTGTCTTCCCTTCCATCTGTTCTTCTTTTTGCTCCTCAAATTTCTTCTGATTTATATAGAAAGTCTTTTCCATTTTCAGTGTTGTCAGACCCTTTTCTGGATTTTCCATTGACTGTATATGTTGGTCAGTTGAATCCTCTATCACAGTATTTAATTGTTCCACTTCTTCTGTTATCTTCTGTGTAGTTGATTCTTTAATTGTGGTCAAAATTTGGGTTCGTATATCTAGGCTGACATCTTGTTCTTTTCTGTAGCATCTTATTTCATCATAAGCTGAAAGAATGGTTTCATGTATTGCTTTCAACATAAAAAGAATCTGTTCCTGGTCTTCATCCATATTCTCTTGATGGTGTGTTAAGCTGAGGGCTTTAAAGTCAGAAAATGAAAATAATTTTATAATTGGGTATAGGACACAGCTGAGCTTCTCATAGCTGGTATTTGTCAAGGTTGAAAAAGTCTTATCTATAGTCTGGGCTTCAAGCCAAGTCTCCTTTAGACAATAACAAGTTGTAATATCAAACCTGGCCACAAGATGTCACCAATGCTGTTTAAAGTTTTTCTAAGTCCAAATTTTTTATAATCCTTTTTCCAATTTTATTTCTTTTTTGTAAATAAAAACCAAAGTCTTCTGTAAAGATAAGAAATCTTTTGGTTCCCAAATTTTAGACGCATATAAATCCAGTTAGATTAAGGTTATTCTTTCAGTGTTTTAACTCCCTGGATAGTCAGTCGCCGCTATTCTTAGAGGGTGGGATAGAAGTTCCCTTCCCCTTCCCTCTCCCTGTCTGCAGCCTAGTGATGAGCCATATTTCTATGGCCGGTCTTTCGTCTGCCGGTTTGGAGGACTGCCCCGGATCGAACGGAAGGGCTACCGTCCTTCCGTGATCAAGTGGGGGTCCCCTCCTTGCTTGTCGTCCCTACAGAGTTACTCTCAACCCTTTCCAGGGTTCCCCAGCAGAGCGAAACCAAATCTGGAAGACGGAGCTCGCCTTTCAGCATCTGCGGCAGCCGCGATGGCAAATCGGAAGTCTTGTTCATTTTATTTTTACTATAAGGTGATAGCGTATGAAAAAGTTTTTTTCAGCTCCCCGATCAGTGGACATAATTCTTTATTCTGTAAAGAACTGATCAGGCCACTATAAACAAATCATGAATGCTGTTTTAAGTTAATGAAACTGCAATGACCAGCATCAAAAAGAAATTTTGGAATTGTTAAAAACATTTCTTTGTTTAACTTTCTTACTTTTCTTCTGGTTTTTAGCATTAAGTTATGGAACCTGTAGGAAAAAATGTATACTTACAAAAATTTTCCATTAGTCTTTGAACCCAGAAGTAGGCGCTGCTCTGAATCCTCCCGAGATATCATCCCATGGAACCAGGGCATTTTCAAGTGTGCAGTTGTAGCAATCAGTTTCTCCAGTTGTGGTTTCTGACTAATAATTGCTTGCTCGAGGGCATGTCCCTGTTCAAATTGTGTAAGAATATAATATAGTTAATTATGGAAGTTGGTATATGAATGGTTTTGACATAAACAGAGAAGTTTACTAAGATTTTAAACTATAAACATTCAGAGTGTAGAACTTTTAGCATAACTTTTAGAGATCATCTGAATGTCTGGCTTGCCCTGAGAGTAATTTACAACGCTGACCCTTTTTTGAGGAGTTGAAAATATGATATTGCTCTCAGCCATCAATGGCTCCAAGGGCAGTCTGCCCATTTTTTCTTGTCCAATATCAAAAGTGGTGTTTTCTAACTTCTGCCAGCATAAGCACTGTGAAATGTTTGTGATATAAACCCCAGCAAAGACAGTGTAAGATCATAATAAATACAAATAAATTTCAAATAACTGAGAAATGAATTATAAAATCATTCAACAAGAATTTTGAAATATATATATAAAGTTGGATATTAGCCAAAGTAACGGTTAGGTGATTAGATGACAAAGCAGTGAAAAGAACGTTTGCTAGAGAATATGGAGTTTGCAGAGAAACTGAATTAATACTTTGTACCTATCTTTGCTATAGAACAGGAGTGTCAAACTGCTGGCCCATGGGCCAAATGCGTCATACTGAAACCGTGTCCACCCCAGCTCCAGCAATGGGGGAAAAGTCGCGATACGTCATGACGCATCACATGATGTGGCGTGTTTGACACCCCTGCTGTAGAAGATAGAGAGGCATTCTTCAATTTACAACCATTCATTTATTGATCATTCAAAGTTATAATGGGCTGAAAAAACTTACAGCCAGTCCTCACATTTATGACATTGCAGCACCTCTGTGGTTGCGTGATCAAAATTTGGGCACTTAGCCCTGACATATATTTATAAAAGTTGCAATTTCCTGTTGTCACATGATCACAATTTGCAACCTTCATAGGGGGGGCCTCCAACAAGCAAAATCCGTAGGGGAAGTCGGATTCACTTAACAACTGTGGTGATGCAGTTAATGACTGCAGCAAAAAAGTCATAAAACTTACTTAACAACTGCATCACTTAGTGATGGGTGTTCTGATCCCAACTGTGGTCATAAGTTGAGAATTACCTGTTGGATTGATACCTGAACCATACTGACTTTCCCAGGATAGAAATTGGGACATCTGAAGCACACTGGATTATCAAAAGATGTTCTAGGACACCCCAAAGATTATATAGAAATGAGTCTATCAAGGGTTATGAATTTTAGCATGTCCCAAATACCAGCTGCACAGAAACATCAGTGGCACAGGGTATGGCTCCATCTTGTGAGCAGCCCAGAGGCATCTGGTTGGTCACTGTGGTCACTGTGAAAAAGGAAATGCTGGACTAAGATGTACCTTTGTCAGATTCAACAGGAATGTTTTTATGTGAACAAATTTGAAACATGGGAAAAAGTACAATATATCCGAAAGTTTTTTACATTCCGGAGTTCAGTGTTTTAGCAGTTTTTTAAAGGGTTTTAAATGGATATATCCGGAACTCGAATTTTTAGAATAATTATGGATACACACACACACACACACATACACACACACACAAATATATATATATACACACACACACACAAATAAATATATTTTTAGAATAATTAGAATAATTACATACACACACACACACACACACACACATACATATGAATAAATGTTGCCTAGAAATAACATGGTCAATGTTTCCAAAATAACAAACTGAATTACGCACATATTTAACTGGAAAATTCCAGGTATTCTGAAATCCATTCTCACATTAAGAGAAAAAATGTTGCACCTAGCAACAGTAGTATGTTAATTAGGGAGTATAATAAGCGTGCCATTACAGATTGTGGTTTTGGTTCATCTCTTTTTTTCTTACTCTTTTACATTCAATGGTGCTTTAATGTTTGTAAACCTTTTAAATTTTTAATATTTCTCCACAAGTATGCCCTAAAATATATGTGCACCACACAAATTCCAAAATTAGATTCACCTACTTTTGGCACACTTAAATATGTAGATTTGGATCATTTCCCTCAATAAATAAATGAATAAATATAGTGTTTTAACTCATTTGTTTCACTGGGTTCTCTTTAACTACTTTTAGGATTTGTGCAGAAATCAGATCACATTTTAGGTCATACTTATGCAGAAATACTGAAAATCCAAAAGGGTTCGGAAACTTTTAAGCATCACTGTACTTCTTATTTATTAAACAAGGACAGCAACATGTCAGGAAGGTATGTGGCAAGCTGACCTATTTTTGCAGTTCACAGAAAATGCTCAGAACAAAATTGCTTAAAGACATGCCAGAGTTTCCCACCATTTTAAAGTGATAAATACATGTATCACTTTAAAATGGTGGGGGACTACGCCGTGTAGCTTATGGTGGGAATTAAAATGGTATGTAGTTAAAATAGTGGGAAAATATATCAAATGTAGTTTAAGACCTAAAATAGGGTTCAAGTAAAGGTAGTCCTTGACTTAAAACCACACTGAGACTGGAATTTCCATTGATAAGCAAAGTGGTTGTTAAGTGAGGCACGGCTGATTTTATTATCTTTTTGCCACGTTGTTAAGTGAATTATTGCAACTGTTAAGCGAATCGTGCAGTCGTTAAGAGACTCCAGTTTCCTTCATTGACTTGCTTACCAGAAATTGTGGGAAAGTCGCAAATGATGATCACATGACCCCGGGAGACTACAATTGTCATAAATGCAACATGCCGATTGTCAAGCACCTGAATTTTGATCATGTGACTGTAGGATACTGTGACAGTCATTAGTGTGAGGACTGGTCATAAGTCACCTTTTTCAGTGCTGTTGTAATTTCGAAAGGTTGCTAAATGAATAGTTTTAAGTTGAGGATGTCTATACTGAACAAATGCGGTATGGAAACCAACTCTAATTTCCATTCTAAAACTCCAGAAAAACTGGAAATCCTGGCTTTGTCTACATGTATGACATGGTATTGACTACTTGGCCAACGTATAGCCACTACCTTCCCAAAAGCAAAAGAGGAAAAACTACAGAAAAGGAAAAAAAAGAACCTTACACATAAATTCCAGGTTTGTTTAACGTATTCTTTGATTAGATTTTCCTTTAAGTCCTCAAACTGACTTGTTTTGGGTTCTATTCCTGGTGGCCGATTATATGGTTTCCTGAGTAAACACATGAGACCATCAATTTCATCTGAGTGGTAGTCAATGAGTTCTACAGGACTCCGGTGGGATTTTCCTCCAGTAATAGCATAAGTGCCATTAATTTCCCTCTCAATGGTGTAATGATAAACCTTTCCATTATATGCCAGAGATAAAGCAAAACCACCCAGATAGTTTCGGCTCTGTCGCAGTAAATACAGTCCGTTGTTTAGTCCTCCTTGCAGCAGATAATCTTCAGCTTCTTCACGTGTGATGTTGCCAAAAAAATAGGATAGGTAGCTAATAGAATCAGAACTTGCCATTTTTTTCCACTACTTCTCTTTGCTCGTTTGCTTTTGAGGCTATATTACGCCTAGAAAGAATAAAAAAAAACACAGGTTAATGACACTTTTGTATGAATGTATGTTATTTTGTATGCTACCTTGATGATCTTATTGAAATCAGGAGATGGAAATATACACAATGAGATCATGAGCTAAGAGATAATCAATGAATCATAATCATAAACCATAGGGAAACAATATTTTTGCTGCCAACAATATCCTCATAATGCATTTGTGCAGGAGTACGCAATGTAATGCCAGAAAAGAAACACAAAAGAGAAAGCATTCTGTGGCTTCTGAAATGCCTTCTAACCCTTTAATAATATCTTTATTCTTGGTCAAAAGAGGGAAGGGACTTAGAATAGAGCAAGTACCCACACAAGAGCAAAAACAAATTCCAGCAGCTTAAGGATAACCTGCCAGAAGCTGCTAATCTAATACCATACATCAATCCTTAGGTGAATACAACAGAAATATGGTATGCCTTTTTAATTAAAAGCTATATGCAATCTCTTCAAGTAGAATAGATGACCAGTTAGCAATTTTCTACTAAAGTCCAACTGGGTGTATTTCATTCTCCTCAAAAAAATTACCTATAGATTTTGAAAGTATATATAGGTGTATATATAGAGAGAAAATATGCAACACGACAATATTCTTCAGCAAATAATTGCATTTCAATTGAAAGTAAATATGATTAAATTAAATAATATTCTTGCATTAAATAATATCCTATCTTGCACAAGCTAAAATGATAAATAATTATTAATAAAAAATAATAGATTTTGTTTAATTATTGGGAGTCTTAAGCATATTTATTATAAGTTTGTATCAATCGGATGGGCCAAATTACCAAATTAAGAAAGTCAGTTAGATTTTTTTCAAAGAAAGAAACCTCTATTTTTTTTTTAAAAAAAAATTAAAATAAAAACTTAGAAAGAAAAAAGTGTCTTCTGTAAAAAAAAACCAGAAGTTTTTACCATTTTTGTTTTACCAAAATTTAGTATTTTAGTGACTGAAGAGTTAGGATTATAGTTACAGTTAGCAAAATATGTCAACCGGTAAAATAAGAGAAAAATCCCCCAAGAATTTTAATAGCCCATCTGCCTACATCTATTTTTATAAGTAATTTGTTAGCGCTAGCAAACCAACACTACATGAAAAAACCAACACTTTTCCAAACGTGTTAGCTACATTTCATTCTCCTGAAGATAATATTTAAGAGTGAAAATAAGATGCTATTTATGAAGTTTACAATACCATAGAGGAGAGGAAGAAATGGCTCTGAATTTAGCGTACCAAACATCTAAATGTATAAAGCAGAATGCAGAGAGAGAGGGGGGAGAGACATTCATTCCATAACAGATGGCTGTCCAGGCTCTGCTTGAACACATCCTGTGAAAACCAGCTGACTTTGTGTCTAAGATGGAACTAAAACTCATGGTTTCCTGGTTTCTAGCTGGGTCCCTTAATTGGTTCTCATAGAATGATCACAAAGGTCATCAAATGACAGATCTGTCATATTCAAATTATCATATCATATATCATACCATATCATATCATATCAGATTATAACCAGAATGTATACAGACATATACATTAATAAATGGGATTATGGATGATTGGTCCCCGATTGAGTTTATTTTTTTTGTGAAGGCTTACATACTCAGTCTTCCATATCTTAACCTTAAAACCTGGACCTTTTTATTTTACTATAAATACAAGTATCAATTATCTGCCAATTCTATGAATAAACTGATAAAAAGCCACAAATCTCATCAAGCATAGCACAACATATATGTAATAATTTGCATATATGTGAAAATGTAGAGCCAACATCTTGATTCCCTGATGAAATGCATGACCATTAAAAGCTATACCTAATGTCAGAATTAATAGAGCAATAAGCAAAAATAAAATTTTACCCATGAAAGTAAACAAAATCAAGTGGAACAAAGTGATATAATGACCTTAATATTCTTCAATTTAAGTGAAAATATTCCTATTAGCATGTCAGTGTAGCACAATAGCTAATGTCCACCTACCTCAACCTCCACAATTATGGATTGTTATATATAGCAATAACACATGATGAGTTTTGAGCTTACTTTAATGTTGCAAAGTTGCAGAGTATTTGCTTTAGTCTCGTTATGCATCGCTTTATCGCTCTGAAATCTCCCGCATGTTTTGGTCTGAAAAACCCATGTGTTTCCCATGGGACTGATGAAACATAAAAATCAAAGAGGACACAGAGAGAAATCTACAAATATTTCTGCCCCATAATTACTTGCAAAACCCTGGCATTCTACCAATATGAATGTCACCCAAAAATTACAAAAAAGTTAAGCAAATCAATTAAATTGAAAGACAATATTAAAAAAAATTAGAAAAGATTTTGACACAGAATTACTATGCAGCATATATGTATGCAGATGCATAACAACAACAACAACAATAATCCAGAAATACTTTGCAACTTTAAATTAAAAGCTGTTCATTAGTTGGATGACTTTTCTATCTATTTTTGCTGACACATGAACTGAGGACAAAAACTACCTACACCCCTAGAACTGAGGCTATGGATAAATTGCACACATAAATAATTCTCAAGCACAGCATTTCTAACTATCTGTATGGTGGAAAATTAAAATTACTGAATTTAAAGATTATAGAGTCTCCAGATGGCAGGGTAAATTGAGGAAGGAGCAATGTTTATTTCTTTTTTAACTCTGTCTAAACAAATATCTTCTGAATACTTCCCTTTCGGCTGGTTTCATTTTGGGTTAATACCTTAACTGGAATAGATTAGAAACTAGTTTGGGGAAGGTTCTTCAGTGCTTTTTAGGCCTCTCTCAACATAATGTCCAACGCCCCTTCCTATTGGTCCCAGCAAGTTTCATATGGGCTCATAGGGGAATTTCCAAGATTGAATTTCTTCGTAATAGGGTACTCTCTTTCCATCCCTGAAGGCAAAAATCTGAAAAAACTTCTATGCTTCGGTGACATCTTCAGAAGTTTTTAACATAAACCTTCTTAAACATAACTAAAGATATTATGACTGTTGAAAACCTTGAGGAAAGGTAGCACAGTCTAAAATTTGCCTTACAGTATTGTCTTGCTTGCAGATTCCAGTTACATGATACAGTACTTCTATTTAAAGCTCAGCCACAATGGAGTAGAGATACTGTGTATGTGATTCAGGCCTATGCTGCTGGCTTAGTCTAGTGAAGGAGATAAATGTCTTATTGTCTTGTCTTACAACCTACTGGCCTTTGGACCCCCTCAAAACAGTGGCATCAGATACCTAATTACAAACTGGTATCACTCAGCAGAAATAGAGAGGTCTGTTAGTTTTGATTTCTTCTTCACTAGTCTTTTTATCTCAGATTTGGTCCCTCCCACATGTAAATAAATCAGTAATTTTTGCTAACTTTTTACTGAAAGATTTACACTAAACAAAATTTCTCTCATCCCAACGTATTCTTATATTTGTCTGGAAAACAGCCAAACACAAAATGAGTGAATATTAATAGGGTAATTTGGAATTGGCTAGATAAGGAGGCTTGCCACATGACCATTACTTGGACCCTGAAAAACATTGATTGGGGTCTGAAACTCAGGCCTCACAGAAAAATGGAGGGTGACTCATATCCCATTAGCAAAATTAGGAGTTAGGCCTGCAGTATAAAGAGTTTTTAATTGTCTGTCTACACCAGGGGTGAGGAACTATGGTCCCTTTATGACTTGAAGATTTCAACTCCTAGAATTCCTGAGTAAGCCACGCTGGCTCAGGAATTCTGGGAGCTGAAGTCCACAGGTCATAAAAGGGCCATAGTTCCTCATCCCTGGCCTACACCATCATCATGCTTCTTAATCATCTCATATTAATTGTGATATTGAACCAGTATATATTCTTGCTAGGACAAGCCACTATAGTTCATAAACTATACTTTAAACATGTTCCTAATATATGGGGAAATTTAAACAAAGATGGTTACTGTCGCATTATTTAACCTGCTTTGATCTATGATACAAAAAAGCTAGCTCAAAATCCATTAACATTATTTAAGTATGATCTGTATAATTGAAGATACCGTAGTTCAAATGTCAGAAATTATTACAAACAATAAGAAAATATGATAATTCAATAGGTAAAATTAAAGTCTTCATGATTTTTACTTTTTACACTTTAACAATATTTCTCTGAATACAAATAATTGGATATTCAAGACTTTGATGTATTTTTGCTATTGTATCACAATAAACATTGTAACACTGTTATCTTTCTCGTAGCATAAATATAGTAATAAGAAAAAATAATAGGCAAAAATACATAAAGTAAATAGGACATTAGTTTTACAATAGATAAAAGCATGAGATCTGGAATAGAATTTGATACTAATTTATTCTATGCTTATTTAGTCAATATGATTATTTTAAAGACTATGCTTTTTGCTAGATTTTGATTTTATTATCTCTATGAATATAGAGATAATACTCCCTCTTTATTATAACTGTATATATATTTAATCAGTCAGCTTGACTTATTCCCAGAATTATTGGATTCAAATGTTGTTATATTTAGAAAGATTACCTAATATCAATAAGACTAAATAATAATTCAAAAGTGTCATCTCATTTATTTCAGCAGGTTTATTCTGTGCATAACTAAATTTGGATTCTCCCAATTGAAAAAGATATAATTATGACATTTATTTTCTTTTTAACTTTTCTTAAGAAAGATATGCTCTGCTAAGATAATAATTTGAATTTGAGGTAAACCTTTATACAGTTTAAGTTTTATAGAGAAGAATTACTATTCAAGAGCTGTCTCTAGAATGTAAAAACAATTACTATGGCAAAACCAACTTTTTATCACCTTTTACTGGAAAAGTTGTAGATACCTGTTTTGAGTTCCATTATTGGGTCTCAATATACCTGCATACAGCATTGGTTATCAAGCACAAAGCCAGCTGGTTGACTTTGGGCCAGTCACTCTCTCTCTCTCTCTCTCTCTCTCTCTCTCTCTCTCTCTCTCTCTCTCTCTCTCTCTCTCTCTCCCTCCCTCCCTCCCTCTCCCTCTCCCTCTCCCTCTCCCTCCCTCTCCCTCTCCCTCTCTCTCAGCCTTGCAACCACTTGCAAAGATGGTAGCAAGAAAACTGCAGGGACTTGTCCAGGCTTTTGCCAGGAGCCAAGACTGACTGAAAAGCATGCAGCTGCACACACCCCCCCCCCCAATATTTTCATATACTAAGATTAGATAGTCTTACGAAATTCAGTAAAGTTAGTCTGAGGGAAAAAAATGTACATATTTGTAGTTTTGCAGGAAAATTTTATGTGTCAACAGGGTTAAGTGAATTTAAATACATAACGTTTAAAGCATATATTAAGGGATGGAAAAGAATTTCCCATAACATTTTTATTATGCGGGCTGGAGTAATCCAAATCTTTGCATGTAATCAAAAACCCTGGTTATTTATGGTCTGCCTTCATGTTGTCTGCTTACCTACGGTTATTTTGAATTTCTTTCTCACACTTCCCATTTTCTCAGGACTATTATAATGTTTTTTCCCTTAACGGTTCAATCAGCCTTTCCCCAAGATAACCTCTACACTCCATTACACTAAGAAAGGTCAGCAACCTGCGGTGTTACAACTAAATCAGATTAATGGATGAACCACCTCTTCCTATTTGTGCTGTATCTATCTATCCCATTCTGCCCAGGAGAGACATACTCCAGGTCTCATCCACTAAGGTGTGTCATCTGTTCAGGCCCAGGAAGAGAACTTCTTTATTGTGGCACCTGCCCTTTGGAATATCATCTGCCCCCAAAGAGTAGATTGCAAGGGTTTGAAGATATGGCTTTGCTTCTGGACTTGGAGATCTAGATGTGTGGCAGAACCTGCCAATGGCTATACTGAATTTTGTTGAAGTGTTCCTGGAACCCTACTGGTGATTTTATTTAATAATTTTAATTCATAAAATATGTTTTTTATATGTTTTTACATGGTTTTATACCGTATTTGTATTGCTTTTAGTTCTGTTTTTTTCACTGTTTTGAGCTCCCAAGACTTATATATTTGGTTTTATACCGTATTTGTATTGCTTTTAGTTCTGTTTTTTTCACTGTTTTGAGCTCCCAAGACTTATATATTTGAGATTCATAGGGCAACCCTATGAATCGATAAATGGCCCACCACAAAGCTAGTGCCTCCATCCAGCCATGGAGCTCTGAATTTTTATTTCCCCTTCATCTATTCAAGAGGTCAGAAATCCAGTTCTTTTTTTTCCCCCATGGACAAAAGGATACTGCATTGACTTGAAATGTATTGCACAAGGTTACTACTATTAGTAACATCCACAAAACCAGCCACCACATACCACCCTAATGTTCTTCCTCCTATCCTCCCTTACCATATCTGTTTCATTCTTCTCCTTAGCTGCCTGCCATTCTGACCAAATATGGATCCTTTGCCTTTTCTGCTTCTCTTATTGCCTCTTGGAAAGGACCATCACGGCTTTCAACTGCAGCAGCTACACTGAAAAATTTGCAACCTTTGTTTAGGTAGAGTGGTGACATGCTGTCCACCAATTGCAGAGGAAAGGGGGAAGCTTACAGGAAAGGGAGAAGAATTGGATTTGTTGGGGGGAGGGCAGACAGAGAGCGAATCTCTTTTTACTCACTCCTCTTATGGCAGCAGCAGGGAAGTACTACCCCAAATGTGAAGATGGCAACTCTATATTGAATCCTACTTTAATAGGGCCTACAGATAGATCTCTGAGATATTCATAAGTGAAATTAACCTCCAACTTAGCCTACCAGTTTCACACCTTCAGAATTTGTCAGCAGCACCCATTGGATGTCATCAGGGTGTTTCTAAGGGGATAGAACAAGAAAAAAAAAACAAAGACTCCAAAGACACTATTCTTAAGTTAACAGTGATATACAGACACTGCAAAAGAAATGGAAAGTTTGTCTTAAGATAATACCAGAGCCAATCTGGTGTAGTGTTTAAGACATCAGGCTGGAAACCAGGAATTCTAATCCTGCTTTGGGTCCTAGGAAGGAGGCAATGGCAAAGAAAAATGCAGGGCAGTTGCCAGGAGTCAACAATGACTCACAGGCATAACACATCCAATACATATCCTAGGAAGTTAAAGCTACAACCCTTAAAAAAAATTAAGTTAAAAACTCCTAAGTTAAAAATTAAGATCTTTTTTTTAAAAAAGTACTAATCAAGCATGAGGCAGAAAGCAAATGAAACCTGAGAATCTTGCTTATGAAGTATCAATCTTAACTTCCAATCCCATTTCATTTTTCTCCTCCTCTAGGCAGATTTTATTTTATTTATTTATTTTAATTAGATTTATATACCGCCCTATCTCCCTTATGGGACTCAGGGCGGTGAACAGGCGATAATAAAAATCACAATAAATATCTATTCTAAAATCAGATTAAATAAATAAAGGCCTGCTCTAAAATACCCCATATAAAACCTGTATTAAAACATAATTAAGACTATGCCAGGCCGGCCGCATGGAATAGATGGGTTTTCAGGGCTCGGCGAAAAAGGCGCAGGTCCGCAGTTGTACGTAGGTCAGGGGGTAGGTCATTCCAGAGGGCAGGAGCTGCCACAGAGAAGGCTCTCCCCCTGGGGGTCGCCAGCCAGCATTGACTGGCCGACGGCACCCTAAGGAGGCCCTCTCTGTGGGAGCGGACTGGTCGAAGGGAGGTATTTGGTAGGAGGCGGTCTTGCAAATACCTAGGTCCATTGCCATGGAGCACTTTAAAGGTTGTTACTAACACCTTGAAGCGCACCCGGAAGGCCACAGGCAGCCAGTGCAGCTCACGCAGGAGAGGTGTTACATGGGAGTATCTAGAGGCCCCCAAAATTCCCCACGCGGCCGCATTCTGAACTAGCTGGAGCCTCCAGGTGCACCTCAAGGGGAGCCCCGTGCAGAGAGCATTGCAATAGTCTATTATCAATACCTCTGTTCATATTATTCTGATTCCTAGTTTCCCCTGCCATCTGCATCAAACCACCCTATTTCTGCACTTATTGTCAAGCAGCTTCTTTTACTTCCCTATCTTGTGTAGCCCGTAACATTTTTTTTCTTTCTTTTTCTTTTGAAGCACAACTTCAAAAAGATTCATCCGCCAAACAGATAAAATCACGCCTGTAAGGCAACTTTTGTCAGATTGATCTGTGTGCTAATATAACGAGACAAGATGAAAAGCACAACACGAAATTGTGCTTGATTTAAAAAAAACACACACAACTACTTCCACTTGTAGTCTGTATATTATGAAATCCTTCACAAAGAAAAGCGATTTGGAGTCAACTTCGGGAGCAATGCAGCTTTCGCTTCGGCTTTGTCAGTGCTTGTAATTCTTCATAAAAACTACCATGTTTATCGGCACATCCATGTAACTATTATCCATAACTATTCCATAGACATACATCCGCCTGTCACAACCTAGTGAAACTCCAGTTGCGTTGGACCACAACTACCAACCATTTTGAGAGAGAAGGTGAGAACTGTAATCTAAGGCAGGGGTCTCCAACCTTGGCAACTTTTAAGACTTGTGGACTTCAACTCCCAGAATTCCTCAGCCAGCTTTTTTTTGAGAGAGAAGGCGAGAACTGTAATCTAAGGCAGGGGTCTCCAACCTTGGCAACTTTTAAGACTTGTGGACTTCAACTCCCAGAATTCCTCAGCCAGCTTTGCTGGCTGAGGAATTCTGGGAGTTGAAGTCCACAAGTCTTAAAAGTTGCCAAGGTTGAGGAAGGAGTTCCCACCGGGGAACCTGCTTTCTTTTCATCCTCCTCTTCCACACTGGACACGCCCCTTTCCCCGAAATGACTCATCCCCTGCCTCGTTCCTGCAAAGCTCGACCTCGCGTCCCCACCTCCCGCCTTCCAAGCGACCTTTTGTTATTTCTTGGTTTGGAGCAGGGGTAAGTCAACCTTGGCTCTTTTATGACTCGTGGACTTCAATTCCCAGAATTCCTGAGCCAGCTTAGCTGGCTCAGGAATTCTGGGAGTTGAAGTCCACGAGTCATAAAAGAGCCAAGGTTGACTACCCCTGGTTTGGAGGGTATTGTCCTCCAGTCACTCTTGTCTCCTCAAACTTTAAAAGAAGTATGGAAGCCTTAACTCGAACCTAGGATTTCCTCCTCCTCCTGCCCCCCCTCCTCCTCCCGCAGTTACCCAACTCCAAATCCGGGTTAACAGAAACCTAGAAGCCCCCTTTTGTCACCCCTCCCTCTCTCGAAATTCGGGAAGGAACGCCCCTTACCTGAGAAACCAATGGGTGGACGGAACCTCCGGTTAGGGGGGTCTCTCCTCTCCAGCCCCTGCCTTTGCAACGGCGGGAGGGAATATGAGGCTTGGCGGGCTTCCCAGGGAAATCCTCGTCAGTTTGCGCGTTCAGGGTCTCGGCGGCGAGGCTTCGCCTTCCCCCCTTACCGGCCCCTCAGCGCCAGCTCCCAACTCGGCGCGCTTCTCCCAGACGTCTCGGCTCTTTTCTGCCCACGCCTGCTGGGCGCCTCTACCGAAGCCCCGGTCGGTTCAGGATGAGCGAAGCGCTCGCTTCCTCATTTTCTCCTTCGCAGCCCCAGCTATTTCCTCAGCGCGGAGGCTCAGCTGAGTAACACTTCCTCGTCGGACGAAGGCGCATCTGTCTTCATTTGTTTAAGAGCCTCTCAGGCCGATTAGGGAAGGAGCAAAAAATAAATAAAAATAAAAATAAAAAAAGCCCGGTTTGGGCGAGTAACCTGTTCAAATCGGGCAACGGGCGCTTCCAGGACTTCCGCGGGAACGGGGCACCTTTCAAACGTCCAGCTTCATCAGCAAAGTTTGGGGAATTAACACTGGCAGAAAAGTTTGGGGAATTAACACTGGCTGTCACAGTCCACCGCCTGCTGCTAAGTCTTGTGACCCGCAAGACCTTGGCTTATGTTTAACATTTTCCAGAGGGATAGCTGTGTTATAATCTGCGGCTGCAAAAAACAAAACAAAACACACACAAAAAAGCAGATTGACTGTGGGTATCTTGAACACCGATGTGATTTGGCATGGACTTTGTGGAATTACTTCCACTTGTTTTATTACGTTTATTAACTCGATAATAAACTTGAGCATTCTATTCAGTAGACCCTTAAACTGAAAACAAGATGCCTAAAACCACAAATAGGGGATACCTACGTACAGTTGCGGACCTGCGCCTTTTTCGCCGAGCCCTGAAGGCCCATCTATTCCGTGCAGCCGGCCTGGCGTAGTTTGATTATGTTTTAGTGGGGGTTTGTATGGGGTATTTTTAGAGCAGGCCTGTTATTTAATTAGATTTTAGAACAGAAACTTGCGTATATTTTATCGTGGTTTTTATTATCGCCTGTTCACCGCCCTGAGTCCCGTAAGGGAGATAGGGCGGTATATAAATTCAATAAATAATAATAATAATAATAATAATAATAATAATAATAATAATAATAATAATAATAATAATAATACTTGATAAGATTTGTTTTACTGTATTTCATTCCTAAAATTGCCTCCTATGTTGACTCTGAAGAAAAAAAAAATCCGACATGAGAAGTGATCTAGCAGGAAAGCTAACTCTCCTTTGTTCTCTTCTTCAAATATAGCTTGGAACCTGGAAGAAGGTATCTAGGGGAGGCTTCCCAGATAGGCAGCTACCAGGGTTGCTTCTGTCCCAATTTGCAGGATGTAACAAAGCAAGAAAAAGCACCATCTTTTTGCTTATTCTCTCAGAGCAGATTGTCAGATGGTAGGGCCCACATTGGTAACCTGAGACTTGACCACAAACAGTTCATCTTACTCCATGGGGGTTAGAAAATTGGTCAACAGATGAGGAACCAACTCATTCTCTCACTTGCTGTTCTCCCCTCTCCATGGCATCCTGATGAGAACTGAGCCAAAGTAGCCCATATTTACATATCAACCAATGAGAGAATTGAAATAGGAAGTGCAAGAAGACAGACTTTTGTAAAGGAGAAAACAGGCGAACAACAACCATTGCTTCTTGTAGGGAAGTAAAAGTACAACATGGAGGCAGCTCCTGCTTCCTTTCACTTTCTTTGGGAGTATGGATGGAGTGGATAAGTGTGCTAAAGAAGAGAGAACAATTGTTGCCCTCAGTTCTTATTGAGCCTTTGCACTTTTCCAAGACCTGAGAAAGAATATAATAATGACTCTTTTGCTACTCATAATTTTTCCTTTGATTATTCAACAGGCAAGTTCAGCATGGAACAGCCTTCTTATCTGCAGACCTGAATTTTTCCTCCAGGCAATCCAGTGGTGTGCCAAATTTTGCCATTCAGAAAAATGGGAGGAGCAAGGGAAACATCTTCTGTTTCTGTGCTTTTGTTAATCCTCTCCAAAAAGCAGGCAACAGGTACAGTCTGTCTGCTAAACATCACTATTGGGTAGAGGAGATCATAGATCAGTGCACTTTGTACATTTATTTATATACAGTACAGTAACACATTTCTTAGACATAGTTAGCTATTATCTTGAAAGAGAACCATCTATATCAGGTTGCTTATGTTTATGTTAAATGAGCACAGGAAGGGGGAAAAATATCAGTGTTTTTGAAAAAAAAAGTCCTTAGCCTTTACAAGTAGTCCTCAACTTACAACCATTCATTTAGTGACTATTCAGAGTTACAACAACAGTGAAAAAAGTCACTTATAACCATTTTTCACTCTTATGACTGTTGCAGTATCCCCATGGTCATGTGATCAAAATTTTTGGATGCTTGACAATTGGTTTGGATTTGATGGTTGCAGTGTCCCAGAGTCATGTGATCCCCTTTTCTGACAAGCAAAGTTAATGGAGAAGCCAGATTCACTTAACAATCTTGTTACTAATTTAACAACTGCATTTATTCACTTAACATCTGTACAAGAAATGTCGTAAAATGGGGCAAAACTCACTTTACAATTGTCCTGCTTAGTGGAAATTTTGTCATAAGTCAAGGACTACCTGTGTTGTCTCTATTTGACACTCCATTCCATATATTGTATTCTAATTAACAAATACAGCAGTATCGTAGTACATTGAAAGCTTTATACTGTACTTCTTTTGAAATTGTGTTTAGGAACATTTTTTTTTTAAAAAATTGCCTGCAGTGAGTTCCCAGAATGCCATGACATCCGCAGCCACTCCTATGCAAAGGTGTGAATGGGAAAAAAGTTAAGAGTAAGTTATGCAAGATCTAGATCTCTGTCATTTCAAAATTTCTCAACCAGCTGGTTAAGTCAGTTTCTTTCTTTCAGATATTATATAGTATTAATAGTAATAGTAGAAATAATGATAATAAATGTATTGGAAATAGGTACATGAACACACTGCTTTTATTATATCACGTCTCTGGAGTGAAAAAAGTTCCAGATGTTAATATTAAACAGTTAAGTTAAATTCAGTAAAGGTATTAGCCTTTATATAGAATAAATCGTCATAAAATTAGTATTTAGATTCTTCTGTGTTACCCAGAGATTTTGTTGATAGTACATTGATGATTCCTCTCTGTAGTTCTCTGTAGATGAAAATCTCATGCTGTTGAAATGATTTCTTTTGATATGCATAGACTAGAGTATTGCCTTTGTTGACATTTGGATCCATTTAGCTCTGTGTTTCTTGAAGTATTTCAAAATAAGCTTAAAGATACAATTCTGCTAAACATGAATTTCCTTAGGTAGAATTCAATAATCACAGTACTAAAATAGATCAGTTGGATCTTCTCCAGCAGATTTTGCCAATTTTCTGTAACAAGAGATTCTAGAATGTCTTTGTCAAATATGTCGTCCATCTCCTTGTCACTTGAAAGAGAGAGCTACTCTATAGTAAAGATGCCTATAGATTTTGCACTGAATAATCAGGGATGATTATTCAAATTAAAAGAATTTAATTTGAATTAAGATGTGTAATTTTTGCTCCTTGGGTATTGTACTTAAGTGTTTGCTTTAATTAGGGATAGTTTAATCTTAATCTCACTCGGTTTTCCTTTTAGTAGAATTGGAAGGCAGCAATTGCCTCAATACTCAATACTCACAGACAGAGAAAACACTTATCAACATACAAACATCTTGGTGGGAAATGATGGCATTTTTTAAAAAGTGGATGCCTGTCCTGCACCCCTTCCTCCCACAAAGATGAAGGTGCTTTTTTAAAAAATCTGTTCTCTGCTTAATATGCATTTTTTTCATTGAACTCTTCATCTTGCTTCTTATATTATTATTATTATCATTATTATTATTATTATTATTATTATTTAAATTTATATATCGCCCTATCTCCCTTACGGGACTCAGGGCGGTGAACAGGCGATACTAAAAACCACGATAATAAATAAATAGTTTCTGTTCTAAAATCGAATTAAATAACAAGCCTGTTCTAAAAACACACCCATACAAAAACCCCCACTGAAACATAATCAAACTACGCCAGGCCGGCCGCACGGAATAGATGGGCCTTCAGGGCTTGGCAAAAAAGGCGCAGGTCCGCAACTGTACGTAGGTCGGGGGGTAGGTCATTCCAGAGGGCAAGCATATGTCTTGCTTCCTCCTCTTTCCAAAATTAGCTTTTGCTATTTCTGTATTTTCAGATTAATATTAATAACTACTTCTCCCAAAGTTCCTAAGCTGTAAACCATTTGAGACTTAAATTGAAATGGACATTTCTTCCCTCAGTTATGTCAGCCTGATCTCGCCTCCAGTGCAGAATATTAACTCCTTTACTAGAGAGAGAAAAAGGGGGAGAAATCCCTGGGAAGCCTTTCCTTGCAGGCCCCAGTATTTGTGGTAGGGCATGTCACCAAGGTCCAATCATTCAGAAGCATATCCTCCTTCAGGTCCAGTCTCAAATTTGCAATTTTTGTCTAAAAGTGTTCTCTCTCTCTCTCTCTCCTCTACTGAAGCCCAAGTCAGTTAAGAATGCCTGGAACACTCACTTCCTCATTTCTTTTTGCAGCCCTAACTGTTTCTTCTGTGCCAAGGTTCAGCTCAACAACACTTCAGCCTTTTCTGCATTGCAGCCTAAAACTGCTCGAACTTTCACGTATACATTGGTTGGAAATTAAACTGGTTTAAGACATTCTTTTCTGAGTTCTAACCCTTTTCTTTTCTTTGGCCATGGTGATGCATGGCACGGTGAAGTGTCTGAATCAAGACAATTTTCTAAAATGGTCTCAAGGATAATTGTTTTTCTACTTACCAAAGACATGCAAAATGCCACATAGAAACTGAGAAAGAAGCTTCTTGCCTAAACTTGTATGAACAAGCCTTCTGCCTTTTAGTGCAAATATATAAAGGACAGACTTCACAGGCAACATATATTTATGCTGTGCGGGCTGGAAGATGTTGCATGAGCACAAATGGAGAAGGAATCTGCAGCAGAACAACCAGCAAGGGCAGG